TGGAGTATATAAATAATTTTTTAAAAATTTCTTTTCCTTTCATTGTTTAACCTGAATACAAAAATAAAGATAAATATAAGAATCTTGTGCACAAATATTTGCCATAGAATAATGTTTGTTTAGTGCAGACCTCGGCACTTTTGCTTTCTCTTTCTCCTCTGCTTCTTGTCAAGTAGTATGATAATGAAGCACTCGTGGGTGTGTATGCAGAATACAAGTCTTTGAAAGAGGATTGCACTATAATAATAAATATCTCGTGCGAACGATTTATGCCCGATTCGCGAAGGATGTTGTTGTATAACCGTTACTTGTGTGTGTAACCATTAGACAAAGTTATTTTTAGTTAATTTATAATAAAATTTGCATCATTATTTTTTAATCACTCTCTGTATTACATAAAATTAAAAATAATTTAATTATGCATCGTAAAAAAATATGACGTCTTCATATTTATTACGCAGATCGCATAGAATTAATCAAACACTACGTTAATTGGAATAATTAATTAATAAAAATTAATTATAAATTACAAACATATACGAGAGAATGTAAAATCTAAAATGGATATTTACTTTCCCTCTATATTCTTACTTTCAGTCTGTAATTATAGCATAATTGCGCGATATACAGTACTGAGTAACCTTGCAACTCATCGTAAATGCAGTAATTAAGAAAAAAAACACTAATCTTTTTGCTACACTTTTACATGTGTATTCCCGTGACATTGCGCTCCAACAAAATCAGGATGAAGAGTAGGTCGAACCAGGTTAATGTCGAGACGTCTAGGTCAAGGAGTGGTCACCGGTCTCGATCGCTCGTTTATCTTGACAGTTGCGACCTACTTGGAGAACTACCGGTAATATTAATCATCATTCTCGGCGACAGCATTAGTCGCATGATGGTTCTCTCAATTTTGCCTCTTTTATTTTAGAAAAATTGAAAAATAAATTGTCAGTTTTTGGCAAACTCCACTAGGTTGGAAACAATGAAACGATTTATGCTGCTATATTAAAAATCAAAAGAATCGCGCGACCGCTTCTAAAGCTGCGGCGATGGCCCTGTGGTCTTTTTCTTATCCGACGGTCAATGCGATAAATTTTATTCCTGGCTAAATGCGAACCGGGCACATTTGCATGATCTCCTTTAACAATATCAACCACCTCGCGTGCTAACGGAATACGTATGCGCGAAACCGAGTATAGACGAGCACGCTAATGCAGGTTCTGTAATTCCAGGAAAATTTCCCCGTCTGTTACTACTAACCTTCCTGTATTTTCTAGGAATATACTAGTCTGTGATAAGCTTTTGCATAAACTTCCTACAAGCTTGCATTTGCGATATACTAATACAAAGTAAGAAGGCGTTTATAAATCATGAGTATATTAGAGCGAAATAAATTTGTTTCATCCGAATTGAACATCAAGCCAATATTATGATCAAAATTGTGAATCTAATTCTTGCGACACTGTGAAATTAATTTCCGCTGCTTTTTGTCCGCCGTTATTTTTTACTGGATATATACATAAATATGAAAGTTTGCATGGAACGAAAGCTAATGTCAATTCGCCATCGCGCGATATTTACGTACGACCAAGGGTAAAAGATAAGTGAGTGTAAAAGAGGGATGGCAGTTGCAACGATATGGCTCGTCAAGATCGCTGGTGACGATTAGACACAGGGACATAATGTGCTGGCACGTTTAACGTCCACCACGTTGTTGTTACTGCTCATTATTTGTCCATCGTCCGATGGACGGCGTACTCGCGCTGGACATATGACAATGCACGCGGGGGTGGCATTCGATGACATTGTTTACACTGGGGAACTCTGCGTGACACCGGCGAGGAACTTTAATTATTATTATTCTTGCAAAAACGTTCTCCTATCGATCAGACGCATCGTCACTAACGATTGCATGCGATTGCGACATTTGAGTACCAACTGAAGATATTAATGCCCCGTGTATCTTTTTAGTAATTATTTATAGTTCTGAGTTAAATGCCTCGAGAACAGGCGACGCGCGCGCGCGCGCCTGTTCTCGCGTCGCAGTGAATCTCATCACAGTTCGTAAAGCTTCGGCTTTATAGCGGCGGAAATTACGCAACGCTCACGATGACTCAGGAGACGCCACCGGGATGAAAATCGAAGAAAAAGGATTTCCGCTCGTGACGCGGTAGATTTTACAATACGCTGCGCGATTGCCCTGCTCCTCTGCGGTCGCGTTAGAATGCTCGCTCGTAGATTAAACAGCCGCTAATGATTCGTATCGCGGTCCCGTTAGGACTGACTCGCCTCCTCCGGT